GTTTTAATGCTTGAGAGGCTGAGGTAGGGAGATTGTGGCTTGGAGGCCAGCCTGGGCTACATAGACAGACCCCCATCAAAACCAAGCCAAACCAAACAAACCAAGACTGGCAAATAGTGAGTGCTTCTGTGGCCAGGCTGTCCTCTGAGGAGAAGCCTGAGCATTTCCTCACTGTGGACCAGTGACAAGATTAGGGCCTTCAGCAGGCAAGTGTAGAACAGGATACTGACTGGGTCCCCCAGCTCTCATGGTACGAGAAAGAAATGCGTAGAAGTTGAATTCAATGCTTCCGGTGGGAAGGACTCTGCAAATACCAAGAGGATGACGATGAATCTATTTCCAGGTTATCCTCTCTTACAACCCAACACCTTCAAAGGGTGCAGTTGATGATGACAGGAACAGCCTAGGGTAACTGATGCAACCAGAGCTTGGCATCTTGTAGAGTGGTTAAAATGGTGACGGTAATGACCATCATTATAACATATAGCACGAGGCTGCTACACATCTCATGTATATGCAGGTATATCCAGGGTAAAGAAGGGAACCAAGGTAAGGATAAAGTTGGTTTGAGTGTGCAAGCTTAGAGCAGCAGGGCAACCTATGTTAGGTAAGCTGCTGGTTGTCTGGATAAGTCTCTCTGCCCTCCTATGACTTTTCTGTGGCTGCTGTAATGAACTATGTGGCTGGAACACTGGGAAGTTATTCTCTCACGATACTGGAGGTCTGAAGTTTGAAGTCAAGCCGTTGAGGTGTAAAGCTGCTTCCTCCTGTGGACCTTCAGGGTGCATCCTGTCACCATGTGGACCTTCAGGGTGCATCTTGTCTCCAAGGCTTGCCTCCTCGGAACAGACAGAGTAGGGCTGTGTTGGCCGCCGATGGCAGCTTGGGGTAGGGAGCTGATGCCGAACAATGTACCCTCACAGCCCCTTTGTGCTTGTTTATGCTAAAAATTCCCCTCCTCTGTGGCAGAGAAGGTGCATGGAGAGGCTGTGAGTGGAGATGACAGGGCTCGGTCACAGATTGCACATTGGGGTTGAAGGCCAGAGAGTGGCCCATGATGACTGATTTCTTGCTTCAGAGACTGGCAGAGTTATTGACAGATGTGAGGAAGGTGGGAAGGTGACCCATGCTGGGAGGGCATCGGGTGAATGTTGTAGGTGGATTCTAGTATCAGGAGTGTAGAAGGCGCCTCCCTTACTTGTATAATCACAGTGGCTTAGTCTGACCATGGCTACTAGTTTTGCTGTGTGTGTGTGTGTGTGTGTGTGTGTGTGTGTGTGTGTGTGTGTGTGTATGTGTGTGTGTACATGTTCATGGGTAGGAGAGGGTTGATAGAGTCAGTTTCTGGTCTCTGGATGTCAGGAGTTTAAAAAAAATTAAAAAGCTCCTTGGAGCCTCTGTCTGTGAAAGGCCTCCAGAACAGTTTCTATCTACTGTTGGTCAATGGTGTGCGTGGCTGTCAATGACTTCTTGCCAGTGCTGGGAAAATATACAACTTCTTATGCTTATTCAATAATTAGTGGGTAATAAACTCCACCAAAGCCCTTCTGTCATTTCTCAAGTACCAAATGTTGGACTTCTCAAATATCTGTTTCTCTTGAGTCTTTGACTGCTATCCAACCATTTAACTGGTTAATATGAGCACCAAGATAAATACATAGAGACCTTTTAACCCAGAGACTTTGAGTGACAGCTTGGACTAAACCACCAGGCTTCTACCAAAAGAAAACACAGAGGCAAACCCTTAACGTAGTTAGACACAGGCATGTTTTGAAGGTCAGGTAATTTATTTTTTTTTTTGAGGGAAAGAAAGAGCAAAGAATTAAATTCTATTAATTACATGTATATTTTCAGTTCCAGGAAGAAATAGCCACCTTGAATTTCAGAACTGAAAATCAGAGTGGCATGCTGTGAAGCTTTATAAATCATCGAAGAGGTCTAGACAGTGTGGGTTTTCCAAATTAAAGCTGTTTTTCTCTCTCTCTCCCAAGCCTTTGTGATCTGTCACAAAAATGGTCTTCAGTACAATGATTTTGTACAGCATCAGTTATTTCTGATCAGACGCAAACACCTGAAAAAATATATATCACTCTCTCTGTATGCATTAACCTTGACATCAAAACACTGTCGTGAACTCATGGTCTACACCTTCTAGCAAAATAGCATACTGGAGTATCCGAGAGCCTTGAAACCATAGTTCCTGCAAATAGACATGCACACGCATGCACACTTGCGGGTGTTTGCCCACGAGTGCAGAGTGGCAGTGTCTGAAAGAAAACGTCCAGCAGGAAGGCTGAGGAGTAGAAGAACATGAACCAGAGAGCGTCCCAGGGGCAGACTGCATCATCAGAGAGACTCCTTGTCACTTCCGCAGTTCAATATTGAGTTGCTCCAGTGCTCTCGGGAGAGTGCTCTATTAATTTAATCGACACTTTTGCTGGAAATATTTCTCCCCCACTCAGGCAGATTTTCTGTCTCTGTCTCATCATTCCCTCTTTTCCAAAGGGAAGCATTAGACGGAGGGGTGGGGTCCCACGCTTGGTTGTATGGAAGCCAGCTAGCAATCGCTGTGGCAGACTCTTGGTCCTGGTGGCAGATGTATGACCAGGTGGGTAAGGAGGCTGGCTTTAATTAGGAGCTCTGTCTTGATCTTCAAGTTTGTTCCCTGACATTCCCTGAAAAATGAATCTCATTTGGAATAGTCCCATCAATGAGCTGGTCTTCTGGAGGGGTCGTTAAGACATCCCTGGAGAATTTGGAAAGAGTGCGCTAGTAACCCCAGGAGTCCACAGAACCCTCAGATGGAGCTTCAAAATGAGCAGTCCTCTCTAATGCCTTCCCCAACCCATTAAGTACATGCCAGGCCCCGAGAATGTCAGTGAGGTGTGGGTGTGGGTTGTTAGGCTTCCTGGTGTACCCACATGTTAAGAGGCCACTCTGTGGCTAGGGATCTCCAGCCTGGCCACTTACTTCTCTGTCTGTCATGATCACAGGCCATGATAACCCAAGTGTGCCCAGAGCAGAGACTGGAAAAGGAAGCACCCAAATGAACTCTTAGCTCTAACCCTGACTCCCAGAAACAGACATGGTATATCTGAAATCACTTTCCCATTGAATAGCAATGACTAATGTCATTACTCCTTCCGATCTCCTCTTGATTCTGGTTAACTGACCACAGTTTCCTGCCTTATAAAGGCAGTCTCCATCCATCAGTGCCAGCTTTCTGGGGCTTCCCTTTCTCTGTCCCTGTTACTCCCATCTTTCCATTCTCCATCTGGGCCACTCCATCATGCTCTCCTCCACTTCTCCCTCCTCCATGGCCAGAATTCACCTTCCACATGGATGTTTAGAAGACCTATACTGAGACATTGATAAAGAGTTACTGGAGCAGAAGTAATCATTTTAAATTTTGTCCGCAGGGTTGGGACTTCCATGGAATTTTTGCAGATCTGGAGAAAATATTTCATCATAAAAGATAATTAGAAATAGTCTCTAATTGGTCACAATAAGAATGAAAGCAAGATACCTTATATATGGTTATAGTATGTCTGGGGAGTGATATGTAAGTTTAGCCAGTTTCGGGAGATATGAAAGGGCCTTCCATCCACCGAGTGAAGGGGAATGCCTTTATTATCAGACCGCCATCTTAGCTTGCAGTTAGAGTTCTGGTGGTCACGTGACTTTTCCTGGGAGACGCACAGCAATACCTGTTTGCCCTAGCTAGGAAACCATAAGACCAAAGAACTATTGCATGCAAATTCAGGCTAGAGAACCAATGAGTTTATTGGGCTTGCTTGCAGAGTCTGAGTGACTCAGGCAATTCATTGCTGAAAACCCTACCCCAGTACAGGTGATAAGCCGCCATATTTACAGTGCTGGAGTCCCTATACCCGTCAACTTTTCACCTCTCGTATACCCTAGCAGCTCCCAAGGCCACAAGCATCTGGGATGCAGGCTGGAGTGCTGGCTGGAATCTCAGGTGACCTCCTTCTATGAGGGGATGCTAACCGTCCTAGTGAAGGGCTCCCATGGGTAATCACAGGTGTTCCATCAGTCAACCCCAACACTGTATCCGAGTTCATAGATGGGGAATCTCTCAAAAATGTTCCTGGATAGTAAGCTTCCAGGGGCTAGTACCAACCTGTTATTTAAAAATTCCTAGGGGACTTTTTATCCAAAGGGGGGAAAACATTGTATTTTCAGGTAGGTAACAGGCCCATGAGAGTCAAGGACTTAAGCATTATTGAGCTATTATGACTCAGAAATTTAATGTATAATGACTTTGTTTAAGCATTTGCAAAATCTATATGATAAGTATTAGGATTAACAGAAGGCTGGGATAATGAACACCCGTATTTTGGTGACTTAATACACAGTTTACTTTTTTTCCTATATAGACAGTTCAGTTTGGTTCTTGGGCTGTGCTATCAAGGATGGGATGGACGAAGGGGTGGGGTCTCCACTTTATCCAGCCGCTCCGGGACTCAGAGGCTTAGAAGCTCTGCCTGCTAGAACACATACCTACCAGCACCCAGAGAGTGTGCATGGGTGTAGGAAGGTTCTGTGATTGTGGCTTAGAAGTTGTACAGTACTGTGTTTGAACCCGCTTCACTGACGGGACTCAAGTCTCAGCAATACCCTTCTCAGACATTTGATGGTAATGGCCTTTGTCACAGGAAGTAATTGGTGGGATTGATTCTCGTTGTGTAGCTAAGGGAGACTGTTCTCTGCACTTGAGCAGCTGTGGATCTCTGTGGTAGCCCCTGTCTCCTGCAATAAGACGCTTCTTGGATGAGGGGGTGGAAACTATCTTTATTTATGCCTTTTGACTGGGGACAGATTGTTTGACACACAGAGTGCCCCAGGATCTCCTAGAAGCGCCCGGTTAAAACATTGTGGTGCTTTTAATGCCATTTATTGAGCACTGCCCCTTTCACAATGGGAGTAGATGTAGATTATATAATCCCACAAGGGCCATGTGAAGAAATGGAGGCCCGGAGTTATTCGGTAACATGTCCAACAAGAAGGAGGCTGGGATACTTTGTAAATTCTTGTCTTAATATTCATGTTTTTCAACCCACTGTGATGCTTCTCACCCTGCCTCTCCAGAGGAGAACCAACTCTGAGCTCATAATGGCGACTGGGTAGAGACTGGGAGAGGGTCACAGTAACAGGCTGAAAACTTTGCTGAAGTACATTGTGTCATTTTTTTAAGCACAGCCTTCTAAAAATCAACCCTCTCATCTATTCAGAAAGTTTGATTGGGAGTCTCAGTGGCCAAGTAAGTCTTTCAATCACACAAGATTTGCTGTACTACCCCCCCCCCACACACACCAACCCCTTTCAGAGAGATTCTTTAAGTCAGGGTTGGGGGAGTTGGGAATTATCACCATAAACAAATGTCTGTTGGGAACCTTACTACAGCGGAACTTGTTACGCTGGGAAGTGAAAAGGGTGCCATGGAATCTTGTCCTCCCTCAGCTTTCCAGATGGGCTGGAGAAACGGAAAATAGATATGTAAAAGATAACAATTCAGGCTGTGTTTGCTGTGGGCCCAAGGACCTATGCCAGTACTAAGTGCTGGCGGATGGCTGGGAGATAGATGGGTTTGAGTGGTTGCTAATGTCCTGGCCTCGGTGCTGGGCGATTTCATACGTTATCACATCCATCCTAGAGGAATTCGGCAGCGGGAGTAATTGCTGAGGACTAGGATGGCCAACAAGTCTTCAGAGAGGAGGTGAGGCTTGAGCTGGGTTGAATTATGAGGTGATATTCTTTGGCAGTAATGAAAGCTGCCTGGGCTGCAACCCGGAGCATAATTTCTCACTGGCTGCCTGCTCCAGATAGCAGTAGCTTCAGTGCCCTTCAGAATGGAATTTCTCTCAGCCGGCGAAGCGGTGTGAGGTGTGCCTGGCAGGTAAGGATTCTTCCATTTGCCTTCCACCCATCGCTCTAATTAAGCACACTTTGCTCCTCCTCTTGGCTCCGCCAAGTCTCCAGAAGTTCGGCGACACGACGGTGGTGGCTTAAATGACATTACAGAGTGGAGATCGTGCAGGCAGGGGAAGGAGAGCTTTGAAGTCCCTTTTCACAACAGGGATGGGGACAGAGGGAGGGAATGGGGTCAGACTGAAGCATAGAGGAAAGGATTTCGAGAAATACTTATTTCTTTGTGCGTGTGTGCGTGTGTGTGTGTGTGTGTGTGTGTGTGTGTGTGTGTGTGATGTGTGATGTGTATATGATAGATATGATCTATGTGTATGTTATGTGTGTGTACATGTATGATGTGTATGTGGGATTTGTACACATGTATGTAATGTGTGTGGTGTGTATACTTGTTCATGTGCATGCATGTATACACTTGCCACCACGTCTATGTGGCAGCCAGAGGGCACCCTTGGGTGTTAGTTCTTGCCTTCTTCCTTTGAGTCAGGATGTCTCCCTTTGGTTGTTCACCACTGTATACACCATAGGTCCCCCTAAGCTTCCGGGGATTCTCCCATCTCTGTCTCCCATCTCCTATGTCAACAAATGAGCACCGAGATCACAAATGCACGCTACCGTGTTGTCTTTTATGTGGGTCCTGGGCATTCAAACTCGGGTCTTCATTTTGGCACGGGTGTCCTAGTCTCGCTTCGGTTTCTGTGACAAAACACAAGGACAAAAGGCAGCTTACGGGAGAAGGGATTTACTTTGGCTCACAATCCAGGTTCTTGTCCACCACAACGGGAAGGTCCAGGCGGGAGAAGCTGAAGACAGCTAGTAGCATCACAATCACAGCCAAGGGCAGAGAGCGCGAACGCATGCGCACTTGGGCTCAGCCCCCTTCCTCCGTTCCTTGATAGTCCAGGACCCAAACTCAGGGGATGACGCTGCTGCCGTTAGTGGTCTGGTTCTTTCCACCTCAAGTAACATTGTCAAGACAACCCCCCATAGATATGCTCACGCTCCAGACTCGTCTAGACAGTCCTTCCCGGAGCCTCTCTTCCCAGCTGATTTCGGATGGTATCAAGTTGTCAACGAAAGCCAGTCATCACACAGGGCGAGCACGTTATTCACGGAGCCTTCTCTCCAACCCTCTTCTTGTTGAGTCCCCTTTCCCAGTGTAATTACTGTGGCTCCCATTCTTCAGCAGAATCCAGTTCCCTCCCAGCAGAAGGCTCCGGGACTAGTATTCTTCTTCCAGGAGTTAGAGACTAACAGACGATACGGATCAATTTACATCACCCGCGTGGATTATTTTATTTAATCCTTGGAGCGTTGCAAGTAGCTTCCGCAGACAAGGGAGCTGAGGTCTGGAGAAGCTGTCGCGGCTGACATTGTCAGAAGGAAGAAACGACAGCGGAGGGTTGGGGTCATCCATCTTTTAAGTTTTTAAAAGACTCTTTTAGTAACAGTTTTATTGAGATATAGTTTATACACCTCAAAATTCACTTATTTCAAGTGGTTTGGTGTTTTTTTTTTTTTTTTTTTTTTTTTTTTTTAAGTATATTCAGCTGTGCCACCATCAAATGGACTGGAGAACACGTCCATCCCTCAGGAAGAAGCCTGGTACCCTTCGGTAGCCACTCCCCCATCCTCCAGCTTGTCCGTCCACCTCAGCCCTAGAAAACCATAAAGCTGCTTTCTGCCCGTGGCAATTTTCTACTTCATGTGAATTATGAAGCCATTTCGTGGAATAATAAAACATGTAGTTCTGCTGTGAATAACCTCTTTCACTTAGCATGTTTTCAGGGTTCATGTGTGTTACAGCGTGTATTCCTGTTCATGGCTAAGTGTTCCATTTTATGGATGAATCTCATTTCATTCATTCCCTCATCTGCTGATGGGCATTTGTGTGGTTACCACTTTTTTTGTCTATTAGAATCAGGTTTTCAGGAATATTTACATAGATGTTCTCATGTAGGCACGTGATTTCATTTCTCTCAGCTACATAGGCAGGAATGGACTTACTGGGCCCTACAGCAGTTCTGTGTAGAACCCAAAGAGGCTGTACCATTGTCCGTTTCTACCAGCGTGGAAACTTCCATGTTAATCTCTTACAAGATAATTTATACGTTGGCTACACACACACACACACACACACACACACACACACACACACACACTATTCATACAGTTTGGAAAAGCTCTAATAAAACCCGGTAGAAAACCGAGAGTCTTCTTAATGAGAAATCTTAATCCTGGACCTCAGGTTCAGAGGCTTAGCCACTTACCAGCTTGAAGACATCAACTCAGCTAAGCGCTGAAGAGCTAATAAAGGAGCTGCCGCGTGTGTGCCACTTTATTCCTGGAGGCATTAGGGATATTTTCTGTTTATTTCTAGCTCTGTGTGGCTGCTGGCAGGAGGTGTGCAAGTGTGGCAATCGCCCAGGATCGTCTATTATTCTGGAAAGCCATTGACATTTGTAGAAAGAGAGCACACTAAAGGAGACACATATAATATCTATGCATATGTCATGCTGATCTCTTGCAAAGTTCGGTATTCTGGGTACTGGGTTTGTTGCCACTTGAGTGCAAGTGACATAAACCTCAAGGCCATTCTTTTGAAATGAAATAGGGAAAGGGAAACAGAGAGAGCAATTCTTTCTTCCCTTCCCCCCCCCCCCAAACACATTTCCGAGGGAGGCCTAAAAGGTGATTCTGAAGGAGGTACACTTGAACAAGCCTTGAGGCTTTCTGTCTGGGTGGAAGAACATTGGTTGCATGTTTATTCTAAGTGCACTGGGTAGGTATAAGAGCAGAAGCCATGGTCTCTACCCTCCGGGAGAGTCTATCCTATGCTGTTAAAGAATAACTCAGTGCTAACCTGTGGGCACATGGGGGTCAAGAGAAGGCCGAAGTGGAGTGTGCTGGAGTGTGGCTAAGTAAGCTTACACAGGAAGTGAGGCCGACTAAATGAAAGTCAAGTGCGGAAGCCAGTGAAGTTGGCAGATTTGCTATTGTTATTGCAGGCAGGGCCCGTGACTCAGACATGGAGAAAGCCTCTTGGTATTATGGCATCCAGGGCCAGACAGACCATTGATAAAGCACATGGTAGGCAGATAGGCAGAATGCGTATCCAAAAACTGTAGTATTGAAAGGTTGGCGAGCTGGATAGATATCATCCTGGAGGATGGGACGGAGAATTTGAACACAAGGATCTTCCTTTTAGTTCAGCAACCACTGAGCTTTGGAAATTAGCTGTGTGACGCTGCAGCTTGGAGCTTCTGTGGCTTCATCTATGTGCTATGGAGATAAAACTCAACCTAGCTGCCAAAACCGAACGGTCCCCAAGTCTAAAACATAGAGTCCTTGATCTGACTCTTGAAGCTCATGTGTTACAGATAGCCTATGATTTAGGCTTCTTCAGCTTATGGTTTCAGACCAGTTGTGTACATGGACCAACACAAAAACCATAAACATACTTAAAACATTATGAGGTGTGTGTGTGTGTGTGTGTGTATGTTTGTAACTTAATTGTGCAGTTCTCAATAATGAACTTTGCAGAGAATAACTTTATGTTGTATCAAAAGGTTGAGTGTATCTGGATGAGGCCTAGGAGTCCTGGCCTCTAGGTTGCCTGTTGGAATCATCTAGGAGAATTTTTCAAACTAATGATTCGTAAGTTTCACCCCAGAGATGTAAGTGCATAGTTTTTATTTTTATTTTTGGTTGTTGTTTGAATCTGAAATGTCTCCCAAATGCTTATTCCCAAACTCGTGGCACTATTTTTAAAGCCACAGATGCCTTTGGGAAGCAGGCTCTGCCTGCAGAAGTAGGCCACTAGGGGAAGGCCTTGGAAGGCTGTATTGCCCCTTGTTATGGCTTTCACTTTTTTAATTATCCTAGTCGGCCATGATGGGCACAGCTTCTCCCACATGCTTCCACTGCCATGAACTCCATATGCCTGTTCTGCCCTGTTGGACTGCAACCTCCTGAGCCTGGGAAGCAAAACAAACCATACTTCCTTAAGCTATTTCCCCACATGTAGTTTGGTCATGGTGATGAGAAATTCCCCACGTGGGGATTAGGTGCAGCTCAGCCTTTTGGAGTTCCTAAAGCTTCCCAGGTCGTTGAGGTGGAAAACTGCCCATCTCTGGAGAGTGTGAGGCTGCTGGTTGATTATGAGCTTCCAAAAAAACTGGCACTGGAGGCTCAAAGGATTGAAAGAGTCTCAACTCTAACTGCAACTTTCAATGCTTTTCACTTCTGTGGAAAGCACACTGAGATCAGGTGGACGTAAGTCTCCCATGCTACACGAAGGGATTTATACTTTGTTTTATAAGCAGCAGGAGAGAAGATGTTTGAGCAGAGAAGTCGGTTAAGGCATGACGCCTGTGTCCATTTCATTGTTTTAAAGCATGATGGCCACTATCAAGGAAATAAAGTAACGAGGACTATGGGGGGTCCAGCCCCTCGATAGTCCCCTCCCAGGGTCCGCAGAAGGCTCTATCAACCAGCAGAGAATCTTTAGGGTCGGTAAATCAGTCTACGCACTCAGAGTTCTTTGATCCATTCGCTTTAATTCCTCTGGCATAACATCCCTTATACACAGCTTCAGTTCTGTTCTCATGTCTAGCTCCTTTCTTGCCTGATTTCTCTCTATATTTATCT